CCCCCCTCCCCCTCCCTCCCTCCCCTTCCCACCTTTTCTTCCTTTCTTCCCTCTATCTTCCTTTTTGTTTGTGGTGTGGTATATCAGTGTGTGGTATAGCCGTGTAGTCCAACTTGCTTTTCGTTCATCTGTGCCCTGCACCCGTGATTACACCAAAGCAGGAGTCCAGTTTCCTCCTCTGTTGCTGTTTACCTCAGGCAGGGTCTTTTACTTTCTGAAGTTGCCCTTCTGACTAGGCTGACTGGCCAGTGAGCTCTTGGGATCTGCCTGTTTCTAACCCCACTCAATGCTGGAGTTACACACAGCCATGTTTAGCTTTTTATGAAGATGTGGAGAATTTGAACATAGATCAGCATACTTTCAGTGTGGTTTGTTTTTATTTTTGTTTTTGTTTATTTGTTTTTTCCTTTTTTGGAGACAGGGTCTTCTGGTAGCCTGAGCTGGCCCAGAAGGCACTATGTCGAACAGGCCACTGTGAGCTCGCAGAGATCTATCTACAGCAAGAGTTCCTAAGCACTGAGTGACCACACCAGCCCCAGTAACCCAGTCTCTCCTGTCTCATTTAAAAGATGCCTTCATAGGCCAGATAGGGTGGGAGAAAGATAGGCCTACAACTTTCTTGAGGAAAAATAGTGGCTGACACTTACCTCTTAGTTCATATGTATTTGTTTAATTGGTTGGGAAGCATGATCGGAGAATTTTAAAGCATGGCAAAGGCAGGCCTACTGACATATTAATGGATACGCTGTACAGAAGTGTATATGCTAAGGCATTAATATGATGCAATGTTTGAACTAGCAGAGCATTTAGGGTGGAACTTTGAGCCATCAAGTTCACTTTATGCTTCTTTTGAAGTACTGCTTTTAATGACCTTGAAATCTTATTTGTGGCTAAACATAGATCTGGAAATACAGATGTTTCTGGTAGGTGAATTTAACTTGTTGAAAAAAAAATGGTTGAGAAGCTAAGAAATGAATGCTGTTTTTATGACCCCAAAGTAAAGAAACTGACTTTGTGGTATGGTAAGCATCCTGATTTCCTCTGGGAGTCTGAGCACTTCTTCATGGGGAGACACTTCCATCAGAAGATGCTGTGAGAAGTTTTTTATTATTACATTTATTGTGTGTGTGCACATGTGCACATGTCATGTAGCATGTGTGGAGGTCAGAGGACAACTGGGGGAGTGAGTTCTCTCTTTCTACCATGTGGAAGCTGGGGATCGAACTCAGGTCATCATGCTTGGCAGCAAGCACCCTATCCACTTATCCACTTTGCTAGCTCTGGAATCTACTATTTCTTGTTTATCTGATGATTCCTCTGGTAATTATGTCAAATATCAATTGATTCATATAACATTAGGCCTAAATTATTCCCATTCATTTATCTTTGTTCAAAAAGAAAATCCTGTGGACCTCCTTCCGTTCCTTTTTCTTTTCTATCCTTTGAATCAGAGAAACATGAAAAGTGGGAATTGATTGTCTTCAATGATTGATTTGAGACCTAATAACAAATTCAAAGTCACAAATGCTGACAATATGTGTTGACGTGTCGGCTGTTGAGTACTTGGGGCCCTTTCTGTTTTTAATGTGTGTATACATATGTGTGTATGTTTAAGTGCACATGGGTGCGTGTGAATGTGGAGGCCAGAGGACACCTCGATTATTGTTCCTCAGCCTCTAAACACCTTGTTTCTTCACACAGGGTTTCTCACTGGCCTGGAACTCACCAAATGGTCTAGGCTGGCTGACCAGCAAACCTCAAGGATCTGCCTGTCTCTGTCTCCTTGGCGCAGGGATTATGAGCGTTCTAGAGAACAACTCAGATCCTCATGCTTACAAAGCTAGCACTTTAATGACGGAGTCACCTCCCCGGCACTCCAGGATATTTTATATCCATCAGTATGTTGCTTAGCACTAAATTAAGGGCTTTCCCTTGTTAAGAATATACTCAGTTTTCAAAATATGTTCTTAAGGATGAGAAGGAAGGGCTGTGGGCCATGGAGCTAATACTGGAGTTAGGACTATTTTGTGTTTGGTTGTGAATATTTAACTTCCTGAAGTTATGGGGAGCTTGGGGGTTAGGGGGAGAATTTGATTTAAAATCAGATGTTATGTGATGGTATGAGTGATTGATGGGGGGTGGCTACAGTGGTGTTTTCATCTTAAATATCAGCAAAGACACCAAAGTAAACTAGATTCAGAGAGTCACTATCTATTAGTGGACCTCTTATCTTTGGATTCTTGGGTTGAGAGTTCGTCCCTCAAAGTGGTATTTTTCTTGAGAACTATTGACTTTGCTTTAGAGTTTTCTTCTGGTAACTCGTGGGCTGGGTTCCAAGTTTGTCATCTCCATAGCCAAGAAGCCTTGATACTATAGATTTCTGGGCTTTTCCAGAATTTCCCACCTGTGATGTTGCTTTGTAACAGGGCACAGCTCTAATTAGGGAACACAATGTGATGATGGTTAGGCAGATCTGAAAAAAAAAAAGATATTCCTACCAAAATGTCTTTTGTGTAATGTGGCTGTTATCTGCAGACCACAAATTGAGCTGAAAGTGAGCAGGTACTGGGCTGGGAAGGTGATTCAGTTAGTAAAGGACTTGGCATGCAGCACGAGCACCAGAGTTTGATCCTCAGAACCTACCCCCCCAAAAAATGGTGCCCGCTTCTAATCCCAGAACTGAGGAGGAAGGGACAGCTGGATCCCTGAGGATCATCAACCAGCAGCTTAGTTAGCCTATTTGGGAAGCTCAGGGCCAGAGACTCTATCTCAAAAAATAAGGTGGGCACCTAAGGAATGGCACCAGAGGTTGACCCCTTGGCTCCACATGTAGGCGCACACATGTGCATGCACATGCACATACACAAACGTGAAACACACACATTCACAGAAATGAGCCACTCCAGTTAACCCCTCAGGCAATTACCTTATGTGTCTCCACTCTGCTCCTAATCAGTGGACTCCCTGTAGTAGCTTCTTTGAGCTGTAATTGTATTTATTTAACTGACCATCACTCTTTGTTTAGGGTGGAACGAATTCTGTCATGACGACATATAAGCTCTACCATATGTACTTAATTTCACAGATACTCTTAGGAAAGGGGACACCTGGTCCTTCTGCCAGTATATCTGGCTTTGATCCAATTTGTCCTCACATTCTTCTTTCCTCTCCATCGTCTCTGTCTTCTTCCAAACTCCCATTTTATTTGCGCTGCCTCAAATGTTCACTGTTAAGCACTCATATTAGTGTCCATCTGAACACTGCAGACCTGAAGGTCATGTTCCATGCTATTATAATCGTTTCGGTATATCTGCGGGAATGCACTTCTCAGTCTAGGAATGCTCCGCTGTGTTTCTTTTTGGTGCCCATCACTTTGGCTTTACCCCTTGCAGGTCTACAGACTCCGGTTCCCGATGTCATTGTTGATGTGGAATCCATGGATATCTTTCCCGTGGGCTGGTGTGAGGCGAATTCTTACCCTTTGACCACACCACACAAAGCAGCCTGTAAGTGTTTCCCAGTAGAGCTAGATGATGAACATAGTGTATATAATATTGGTCATTTTGAATAAGTTATTGCAAATGTAAAGGGTTTAGATGTCCCATGGGCCACCTATGTTGTTACTGTTATCATCATCATTATTCTCACTTATTCCCTAAGTGTTGACACCTGTCGAACATTTGGATGCATTCCATAGGTGACAGTAAGGAGCCACTTGACGGCTACAAAGAGACACAGGGGGAAAATGACTTTGGATATCTTTATTGGATGTTTTGATTGGAAAAGTTTCAGTCAGGCATCATATTTTTCTGTTATAATTTCTTAGGAAAAACTAATTCCCATGCTGTTTCTTCTAAAGAAATCATACTTGAGGCTGGGGAGATGACTCTGTAGCCAAGAGTGCTTCCTGTACAAGCATAAAAACTGAACTTCCCACAGCCGGGTGTGGCGGCACAGGCCTTTAATCCCAGCCCTTGGGAGGCAGAGGCAGGCAGATCTCTGTGAGTTCAAGGCCAGCCTGGTTTACATAGCAAGCTCCAGACCAGCCAAGGCTATGGGGAGACCCTGTCTCAAAAATACTAGAACAAAGAAAAAAAAAAAACCCCAAAACTGAACTCCGCAATACTCATGTAAAAAGCCACAAATGACTGTGCATACCTATAACCCCAGCATTGGGGGCTGAGATAGAGGGACACCAGGAGCCTGCGAGCCAGCCAGTGTAGTCAAACCAGAAAACTTCAGGTTCAGCCAGAGACCTTGTCATAAAGAAATAAGGTAGAGAGATAGAAGAAGACACCCAACATCCTCTTCCGGCCCTCACATGTATGTAACATCTACAGACCCAGGCACCACACACACGTGCATGTACACCACACATATACACCATACCACACTCTCCGAAGTGTAAAATAAAGGAATGATTCTTGATCCCAGTAATTTCCTTAGCCCCAACTCTTAACAGTAGCTAATCAATAAAATTTCAACTGAATTTAACAAGTATATTAACTTCACATCTTTTTTTATCCCCATAATATCAAATACAATCAATTTTACTAATTTACCTAAAGCTAGCAGTTTCTTAGACCTCATTTCAGATATACTGAAATCTTGGGAATGGGGTCCCAGCAATCTTGGATTCCATAAGCTGCCTACATGAATGATATATACAAAAGGTAAAAACCATTGATACAAGAACTGAAAATCAGGCTTAAACATGGCTATGGCATTTATCTGTCTACCTCATGTTAAGCAGCTAAGCTAGAGCACATTCAGAAATAATTTTAACATGTTATCATGGATCCTTCTCAATTTGTATTGCTTGAAAATCTTCAGGCTGTGGTGCTAGTGAGATGGCTCAGAGGTTAAGAGTACTCGCTGCTCCTGCAGAGTACCTGGGTTTGGTTCCCAGCACCCACATGATGACTGACAACCATCTGCAACTCCAGGTCCAGGAGATCTGATGCCTCTTCTGGCCTCTGTGGGCAAAGCAGACATGGTGCACTTACACACAAGCAGGCAAAGCACTTTAAATTTATACATATAAATTTTAAAAAATCTGCAGACACAATGCATGTTTTCATCTATTTCACCATAATGTGTATCAAAGATATTATTAAGTTATATGAATCCTTAAAGATAAGGATTTCACATTTTTGTTCAAGAGCTATTTTAGACTGGGCATTTTAGGCTCAGTGGGTAAAGCACTCAAGCTTGAGAACCTGAGTTTGGATCTTCAAATCTCATGTAATGTCAAATGTGGTGGCACATGTTTGTAACCACAGTGCATTCACAGCAGGATGGGCAGGAGAGACAGGAGAACCAACAACTAGGAGCTTGCAGGCCAGCCAGCCTGGTGTACACAGCAGTGAACAACCAAGGACCATGTCTCAAGCAAAGTAAAAGGCATTCACTGACCTCCGAGGTTGTCCTCTGACTTCCACATACTCTCAGTGTCATGCACATACCTCACACACATGGACACACACACACACAGGCTGTAACACACACACACACAGACATTCATACACACACACAGAGAGACATTCAGACACACACACACACAGACATTCATACACACACACACAGACATTCAGACACACACACACAGACATTCATACACACACACACACAGACATTCAGACACACACACACACACACATACACACACACACACACATTCATACACAAAGCTAAAAGAAACTCTTTTGAAAAGAGAGATGCTGTTTCTAGTATTTTTCCTGTGGAATTGGCCTACCAGCAAATTCTTCTTTCTAAGACCCTGTTCTGCACTTCACTTAGGGACCTTCTCGGGTCATGGCTATAAACAAAGCTCTATCACATCTCTGATCCCCGAGATTCTGAAGGGTCTCCCTCCTTAGTGTTCACTGGGAGTGGCCTAGAACATTCTCCTTATGCCTTGACTGTTGGCCATGTAGGCTGAAGAGATTAAGAAGCTGCCTCATGGGCCTGAAGAGATGGCTCAGCAGTTAAGTACACTCGCAGAGGACCCAGATTCTGATCCACATGGTGACTTACAACAGGCTGTAACTTCAGTTTCATGGGATCTGATGCCCTCTTCTGGTTTCCACTAGCACTGCACACACATGATGCACAGACATATATGTAGGCAAAACACTTGTACACATAAAATAAAAATAAATAAATATTTTGTAAAAGTGCTGCCTCGTCTCGAGTCATGGATGGGAAGAGTTTCCAAGTTTATAATGATTATTTTACACTCGAGGTTTTGGAAATATTTTGACATGTGATAGGTCTTTTCCCTGGGTCTATCATAGAGTGAAGGCGCAATCCCCATGTCCTTTCTGTCCCTTAGATAGGGCCTCATACCTTGGGTCTTCTTCTCATGGACTAGGGAAGCTACAAGTGCCTTCAGATCTGGAACAAAGTCACATGTTGGTTACAGTGTAAATTTTTTCTATAATAAATTTAGTTGAATGTAGTCACAAGAGCAATAGCTTGATTTAGAGCCCCTGGCCTGTTTGGAGCCAAGTCAAGCCTTTGCATGCGTTGTTTCTCTCCAAAGTGGTTCTTATTCCAATTTTCACACAGGTCTGTAGTCCATGCTGCACCTCCCCCTGCACGTCCCAGCCTTCCCTTTCTCCTTCTCCCCCTTGTCTCCTTTGTTCCCTACATAGTTTCCTTCTACTTCCAATGTGTCTGTGCACACATGATTTTATGGAACCATGTAAAATCTCAGAACCACAAATGAGGAAAAACAAGTAATAGTTGCCTTTCTGTGACAATCTTAATTCCCTCAATATGATTATTTCCAGTTAGATCCATTTTCTGCAGAAAACCGTAACTTTATTTTTCTTTATGGCAGGAAAATGTTCATTCGGTCACACACCCCATTTTCTTTATCTGTTCCTCTGTCTTTAAGCACCTGATTTTGTTCCATAACTTAGTTACTGTGAGTAGTGCTGCAGTAAAGTTGATGTGAGCGCTGTAATGTTCTATCTTTATTTTGCATTTCACTATCAAACCTATTGTACTCAGCTCCTTATCAAAATACTGCACATCCAGACTTCCTCACCCTGAGAACCAGACTAAGACAAGCTGTTAAACATTTCTTTTTCATCCTGACACACAAGAAAGTTTATACTTTGTGTGGTGAGGATTAAAACTCAATGGCAGATAAAGTCAAGAATATGGGTGAAAATTAAGTTTTCTCTGATTGACTCCTGCAGCTTTTCTTTTTACTTTTAGATTTCTTTTATCTTTTCATTATGTGTGTATATGTATGTCTGTGTGTGATTATGTGCACGTATGAGTGCACATGCCTGGGGAGTCCAGAAGAAGGCATTGGAGCTTGTGTTGTAGGTGGCTGTAAGCGCCCCCTCATGTGGGTGCTGGGGACCAAACTTAGATCTTCTGCAAGAACAGTACCTGCTCTTAACCACTGAGTTATCTCATCTCTTCAGCCCCAAATCTTTTTAAAAAATAATTTTTTTGAAGTTTTGCAATTGTCATATATTTTGATCATATCTAGATCCTCTTCCTGATCCTCACCTCCCCTTACTGTTTCCCTCCCAATTATATAATAAATATAATAATATAATATATATTAGACTTATATAATATAATATATCATATATAATTAGACTTGTATAATATAATAATACATATAATATATGGGTTATATTATATTATATATATAACCTATATAGTCAAATTTGTGGCCCCAAATATCCATCAGCGTGGGTCCATCCATTGGAGCCTAGTTTACCTACCAAAAGTCACATCCTTGGGGTTGGAGAAATGGCTCAGCGGTTAAGAGCACTGACTGCTCTTGTACAGGACCTCATTTTGGTTCCCAGCACCCACATGGTGACTAACAACTGTCTGTAATTCCAGTTCCAAGAGACCCGACAACCTCTTCTGACTTCCGTGGGCATTGCATGATATGGGTACACCTATATGCATGTAGGCAATACACTCATACACATAAAATAACAATAATAAAATATTTTAAAAAGTCACATTCTTGAAAGAGACTGAGTCTCCCCCTCTCACAGCCATTGGCTGAGGTTCAGGTTCACCCCCAGTTCCCCTTGTCTATGCTGAGATTTTGTCTGGTTTGAGATTGCATAGGAATTGTGCAATTTAACATTGATTCTTGCCTTTATTTCTTAACTACACATTGTGCTTTAAGGACTTTCCAGTGCAGCCATAAAAGGGGAAGGGGGCAGGGGGCACTCTTCAGTAAATAGAAAAAATGAATTATTTGAGTCAAGATTAATAAATGCCAAAATCTGTGTTCTATGTTCGTCAAGATGACAGTTGTCAATTAGAAGTATTAACTAAGGGCTGGAGCAATGGCTCAGCATTTAAAAGCATGTATTGCTCCTCCAGGCCACCAGATATCAGTTCCTAGCACCCAAGTAGAATGGCTCACAATTGCCTGTAACTCCAGCTCCAGGGGATCTGATGCCCTCTTCTGGACTCTGTGGGCACCTGAGTTCACGTTTTCACATATCCACACACAGACTCATAATTAAAAGTGAAATTAATCTTTAAAAAAATATTAACTGAAAGTGTTCTTATCTCCTAGACCATTATTTCCTGGTTTGTTTCAGTATCTGACCAGATACAGCTGTAGGCGCCACCTCCTCTTCCTGTAATTCAGTGTTTTCTTTTTAGTGAGGCTAATTTGAAGGTATATTATGTGGGCAGTATTCTTTGCCTTATCACAATCTCTGTGGGAAAATCACCACTCCAGATAGTCATCCTTGCAACAGTTTATCCCAACATGCATTTCTGTGAGGCACAATGTATTTGCCCTTTATCTTTCTTATCAAAAGCACCCTTTAAAATAAAATGGTGCAGTGATAAGATTACATGTGCCAAGTTTTATTAACATCACATGTCTGGTAAACCCTTATCTGTTTCATGCTAGGAGAAATTAGTGTAAAATTGTGGTTTGACTGCAATAACGTTTTAGTTTTAAAGCAAGTACAAGGGCTCACTTTAATTAAAAAATAAATAAATAAATAAATAAATAAATAAATAAATAAAAAGAACTTTGCCCTGAAAACCATCTTCATTACATAGAGGATTAAAAGATTGATCAAAATAGCCCTTCTCCACTTGAAACATAATGAGAGGATGGGGCTATTGCTCAGTTGGTAGAGTGTTTTTCTAGCATGCATGAGGTCTGAGTTCAATTCTTAGCACTGCATAAACTGGGTGTTGTGGAGGGCTCCTGAATTCCCAGCACTTGGGATGTAAAGACAGGAGGATCAAAAGTTCAGACTCATTCTCAACTATATATTGGGTTTGAGGCCAGTCTATACCACGAGACCTGTCCTTCTATCTAAACTTATTACCTATTATTTATGTACTATTAAGAAAATAAATAGGGGCTGGAGACATGGCTCAGCAGTTAAGAGCACTGGTTGCTCTTGCAATTGTGTAGAAGTCCAGTTCTAGGCCTCCATGGGCATTGCACAACACGGATGCACTTACATGCGAGCAAAACACTCATACACATAAAATAGAAACAGATTTTAAAAAAGAAAATAAGTAATTTTGCACTAAGCCATGAAAAGCAAGTTACCATCACTAACAGTGCCATTTTCTTTTGTGTTTACAGCACAAAAGAAGAGAAAGATTGCGGTTGTGCAGCCAGAAAAACAGTATGTTACTTTTTATTTCTTTTCCTCCTAAATGCATGATTAACTATAAAGGGTCTTTGTGGACAACAGGAAGCATGGGTATTTTTATGGAGCATGAACTTTTAAGCAGTGCACCAGTGGTGGTGATGACTGTTACTTACTGTGCACTTATTACATGCAAAATACAGAGCCTGCTCTCAAAGCAGTTTACAGTCCCCGTTGTCAGTCCTCACTTTTTATCTCATACTGATGAAAACGACCATTGGTGTTAGTGAGTCTCAGTAGCCCTGTGCAATGAATATAGTTTATAGATGGCCAGTCTCTCCTGACCCTGAATGCCTGAACCCTAAAGACTCGTGTGTCACCCCAACTCCCCTACTTCCCAACTGGGTGAACTTAAGAACTTGGTTTAGTTCTTTGTATTTTAGCATCCTTGCTTAAATATAATACCTTTTGGATTTTATTTATATTAAGTTTGAGTCCATGTGGAAAAGATTGTAGGTTTTCAATTATGTTGTGGATACAGGTTGAGTTTTTTTTGAGGAAAGAGGGTATTAGGGTAAAATATTGTACACGCATTCAGAGTGTGTTTGGAAAGGTAGAACTGCTGGAGAGCCCTTCCTACATTGTAAAATATTTAAAATACACCCACATGTGCTTTCCATCTGAAGTGACTGTGTTTTCTTAAGTAAATAATAATACATGGATAGAAAGTTAACTGGAAACAGCATTTTTATGTATCCAGGCTTAAATATAAATCGAAGAACTCAAATGCCTGTATCGGTATTTGAACAAGGATAACAATGTTGTGGGTATTTTTTGTGTGCTCATTACCAAATGCTGTGGATCACGTTTGTGACCTGGCTTCAGTTTATCTACCTAACATGAAGTAGATAGAGTAATATTAGGCTGATGATTGGGTGTGAATTTGCAGTTGGTAGATCAATGGTTCTCTCTCTCAACACATTGCTAATCATGTAGGGAGCTTATTGGAACACGGATTCGCTGGGCCCCACACTCAGGGTTTCTGATTCAGGATATGTAGGATGTGAGCTGAGACTCTGTATTTCTTACAAATTACCGGTCGATGCCAGTGTTATTGGCTGAGGGGACCACACTCGGATGACCACTTCTGGAGAGGACCACTCTAAGATCCCCTGTGACAGTTTACTTTGAATTAAGGTGGCTTTTTCAAAAACTGTATGGTTTTTATACAGGAAGCTTGTGCCACCCCTGTGAGCCTAAGCATTCCTTTTTCTCCCTAAGACTATTCATGGACTTTTAAACTGAACTATACCAAAACAAGCCAGCATTACACATTAAGAATCAGCATTTTGTAGGTGTGGTGGCTCACATCTATGATCCCAGCACTCTGGTGGCAGATACAGGCCGATCTCTGTGAGTTTGAGGCCCATCTGGCTTCCATACCGAGTTCCAGCTCTCAAAAGGAAAGAAGGAAGGAAGGAAAGAAGGAAGAGAGGGAGGGAGGGAGAGAGGGAGGGAGGGAGAGAGGGAGGGAGGAAGAAAATCAGTTTATAGGTTTGTTTTTGTCTCAAGAAATAATTGACTAAACCTTTTAGTATAGCTGTGATCCACAGAAGCACAGAGTAAAGAATTCCAAAGTTAGCTGAAAGTTGTTTTCAATTAGACAATTACAATGGAAAAGTCTAGCGTTAATTAAATGTAAGTTAAAGCTAAAATATAACTGAAGACATTGTTGCAATTCTATAGCAAGAGACAAGCCAGACAGCAAACCAGAAGGAAGTCGTTGATCAGGGCTGGCCACTCGGGGGCAGTTGTGCCCTAGGCTTTTCAGGGTCATCCAAAGGATTTGAAAACCACTTTTCTAAAGCGACCTCTTTGTTTAGTTGACTGGTGCCGCTCCTGTACATGCAGCCTGACTCATAATAACTTGATCTTGAGTCCCTGGCATAGTAGTTTTAAATGCTAAAAGACTTTGGAATATACTCTTTTCTTCTCCTTTGTGTCTTTTAATAGTTTGTTTTTGCCCTCCACAGGTTGCCACCCACAGTGCCTGCTGAGAAAATATCTCATGACCTTTGCTTATTCCCTCATCTGGACACTGCAGGTAAATAGGCCTCATGAAGGACACTTTACTTTCCAGTCTGTCATCGTGACTGGAGACATGCTTATTGTCTATGAGCACATCTCCATGTTGAGGCTACTTCCTTCTATTAATATTGAGTCACAGATGCATATGTTTTTAAATTACTAAAGTCTCTGTACTCATTTAAAACAATTTATTGAATTTTTGTAATTTCATCAAATAGTTTTTAATCAAATTTAGAACCCCTCCCTCAACTATGCCCCCCATCCCCCCACTGGGCCTCATGTATTCTGCCATATTTGTTAAATCCTATCCAGTCAAGCATTTGTACCCTGATGCCCTTCAGTGTACACTTATCCACCGGAGTCTAGTCAGCCCATCTAGAGATCATACGTAAGGCATACCCTCTCTCACCCAGTAGCAATCAGTCGCTAATAGTTCTTGGTCTAGGGCCAGCCTGCCATTTCTCTCCTCCCCTCTGGGCCCATGTTTCATTGAGCTGGCACGGGTCCTGTGCTCGATGCCACCATTGCCACAAATTCACATGTGCAGCTTCCAGTGGCTTGAAAGCCTCTGCTTCCCTGTGTTCATGAACCAGCCCTTTGGCACGGGTCCTGTGCTCGATGCCACCGTTGCCACAAATTCACATGTACAAGCTTCCAGTGGCTTGAAAGCCTCTGCTTCCCTGTGTTCATGAACCAGCCCTGGCTCTTACAATCTTTCCATCCCTTCTTCCACAATGGTCCCTGAGCTGTGGGTGGGTGAGGTTCAATATAGAAGTCCTATCCGGGGACACACGCTCTGCAGTCTCTTATCCTTTTAAGACTTGGCCAACCAGTTATGGCCTTCTGTCTGCATTGCCCTCTGTTGTATAAGGAAGCTTTACTGGCATTAGAGGAACTAGGGGTAGAAGAAACTAATGCATCTGTATTTCTTTACTGGAGCTTGACCATGAGCCCTAGATAAGTCTCCTAATCTTCAGGAAAAAGGTCCATTTGCCATTTGACCATCACAGACCACATGAGCACGATGTATCCTGGACCACTGTGGAGAAAAGGAAAGCATTGAACGTGTAATTGGGCATTCCTTTTTGACATTTATCATGGTTCTGCTTGACTGTTTTGAGACCTAGCTTTGCCACGTAACCCAGGCTGACCTTGAACTCATAGTCCTCCTGCCTCAGCCTGGCCAGTACTGGGACTGCAAGTGTGTGCTACTTATCCCTGGCTTGTCCACTTGCATTTTTACTCTGATGATCACTACTAAAGTCCCCCTAGCTTTTGATTTGCTCATTAAAACCTTCTGAGTTTGAATAGCTGATTGTGAGTATTTTTTAATGAGTAAAGACTTGCATCTTCTCATAATCTTTAAGAAAGAGTCAGTTGTGAGCTGCCGTTTGACTGCCAGTTAAATGATGCATGATTAAAAATCCTGTGTTCTCTGCCAAAATGAAATCTGCTTTGAACTCCAGGATTTGAATCTATGTGCTGTGAAAACATCTCATTAGTTGAAGTTATCTTTGTTATAAAGAGACCACTTTTATGAGTAGGCTAAACTAACTTTTTTTAAATCTGAAGGTCTGTGAAATACTAAAAAATTATGAGGAAGTGCATTTGAAGTTAATTATTTCGATTGTTGTATAGAACTCAAACTTCAGAATGTTTTATAGGAAACCATGTCAACTACCTTTTCATAGTCTATAATAGTAAGTTTACTCTTTTGCACATGTATCCAGAACACAATTTCTGTGCTCTACCTGCTGCTTCTTAAGGTTTAAGAAACACACATTTACAGATTGTTAAATTACCATTGCAAATGAGTAACAGCATTTCTGCAGTCCTGTCTGCTTAGCCTGTCTGTTTGTGTAGCATGTTGTGGGGAGAAGCCGGGTGAGTGCATCACAGAGTAGATCGCTTAGCCACAAGTGAGACTTCATCTATATTTATAAACATCAAGAAATTGTTGCTGGCAACTCTGAAAAACAGTAACAAAAACTAAGTATAAAAGAAATAATGACTATATGGCAGAATGCATGAAAAGCAGTGGGGGGACAGCAGGGGGTGCACCAATGGGGGGGTCTAAATTTGATTAAGATCTATTATATGGGATGCACAAAAACTCAATAAAATATATATACGAAGAAAGGATGGCTAAATTGTGGTATATCCATGTAACAGATGGAGTCGTACACAGAAGTGAAAACTGAATGTTTTAGCATTTTTGATGAATTTTCTGTACTTTCACCATCCTGGGGGAGCTACAAAACTTAAGTAGATAAACAAAATATGGAGAAAAGTATTTACAAAAATCTTTTTAAAGATTCCAAATATACACCACTTGTGGCACACATACATGAGTTGAGTCGGAAAGTTTATGAACTTAGACAAGGATGATAAATGTCGGATTCAGAGCGATGGAGGGCAGGGACAGGAGCTACTAGGGGATGACATGTGCAGAGAAGCTTCGCTGTGTGACGCCGTGTCCTTCAGCTGTGCCGTAAGGCCTGGTTTGTCATTGCTGTATTGTCTAAAATTTCTGTGTCTTAAGTACCTTATAACCTACACAAAATATTATGTTTATATGGTAGAAAAAATAAGCAAATTTTCTTAAGATACTTTTATGGATGTACAATGTCCTGATGTTAGGACACAGTGCACCCTTCTCCAGAGGAGAAAACTAAACGATTTGTTTTGTTTGGAACTCAGTCATGCTTCTTAATTAGAGTCCAACCGCACTGGCTCTTGAGGACGTGGCGGCCTGTCAGTGTCCCGTTTATCCTCCAGATTCTTCATGTGTCTGACTCAAGCTCTCCTTCAGGTGGATCCAGCACACATCCTGTAGGTCCCAGAAGTCATGACCGTAGCTGTGCCAACCCTCCTCTGTGTTGCTCCTTCCCAGCAGGGACTGTCAATGGGAAATACTGCTGTCCGCAGCTGTTCATTAACCACCGCTGTTTCTCGGGCCCGTACCTGAACAAAGGGAGGATTGCAGAGCTACCTCAGTCGGTGGGGCCTGGCAAGTGTGTGCTGGTGCTTAAAGAGGTAAGGCACCTGAATGCTCCCAGTTGGCTTCTTTTAACAGGATCTTTACACTGGATGCAGTTTCTAAAGGAGGTACTAAGATCCTCGAGTCAATTCAGTTTAATTCACACTCACCAAGGCACCTCCAGTATCTGGGGGTGGAATGCTAGAGAGTCAAAGATGGAAGAGTGAGGTCCCTACCTGTGATGTGCTTTTTCCTATGAATTCAGGGAATATGCTGTGCTAGATTTAAAGCGGGTGCTGTGGGAACACAGGGGAATGATGAATTGCATGTGGAGTGGGGACTTGGGGCTGAGTAGTCAAAGTTTCTCACAGAAGAGGCCAACCTGATAAGGTAAAAAGGACCTCATGAGGTGGGACAGCGTTTCATGAGAAGGATCTCGCCCGAGCCAGGTTAAGTGAAATCTTATCTCTCTCTTCTCCTTTTCTTTTCTTTTCGTTCTCTTTTGTTTTTGTTTTTTCTTTTGGAGACAGGGTCTGGCCTAGAACTCATTATGTAGCCAAGGGATGACCTTGAACTCCTGATTCCCTCCTTCTCTCCACCTCCCACATGCTGGGATTTTAAGTGTGTCCCATTACACCCAGTTTTTAATCCAAGGCTTCATGCATACAAGGCACATCCTACCAAGCTACATCCCCAGCCTGGGTGGCATTGCTATTCTCTCCCTCCACAGTGGCTGCTACCTGGACTTAGGTGGTAATGCTAAATGTCTGCCTGGGCTCTCCATACCTTTGCAAGGTTTGTGCTGTGGCTCTGTCCGGGCAAAGCCCAGGGTGCTCATCATCCTGTCTTGGGAGTGACCTGCAATAGAGGATCATCCCAAGGACGTAGATGAATGCTGCAGGTCTTTCTCTGCATTGTACTGGACTCCTCATGAAGATCTGTCTGCTCTTTGCCCACACACATCAGTGCTCTCGTTTAAGAAAGAGGACACCAGTATAACTTCCTTTTTGCTATAACATGACGAATTTTGGTGTTTTTGTTGTTGTTGTTGTTGTTGTTGTTTTAATTTGGTGACTAAACAATCCATTTCTCCATTGAACAGTTGCTTTTCAGGTGGCTCCTAGGAGCCAGGCACTTTCTGAACCATCAGATAAAACCCAACCCTCTCTAGTTTCTTTTTGAGTTTCACATTCTGTTTGATGAAAATAATAAACATAGAGGTGGTCTAAAGCGAGACAGGAGAAAGACCTCTGAAGTAGTCATAGGATGTTTGCTTTTTCTGGTGTTTGGTGGTATCAACAGTCAAAAAGTTTTATATATTTAGAAAAATAATCTAAATAGGAATGTAAGGGGTCGTAGGGCAGAAGAACCCTGTGAAGATGGATGTAGCCATTGTGGTGATTTATTCAGGAGCATTTAACTTACTGGCTGTTTTGAGATGAACACAGCCCTGATGAACTTCTTGCTAAATGGGAAGGATAAGCAGGTACAGGGAATGTGACCAAGCACATCCCTGGTGCCGTGATTGGGGCTGGCACTGATGGCACACAGCTATGAGCTAGCATGGGGATTTCATGCCGGTGCTAGAGAAGCGAGACAGTCACCTGCTTCAGAGAGAGGGAAGATGTATATAAGTCTAGAGCATCTACGGAATGAAGGGAAAGAAAAGCAGAAATGATGCTGGTAAAACTTTAGGTTTTGGGACTGGAGAGATGGCTCAGTGGTTAAGAGCACTGGTTGTTCTTTCAGAGGACCCGGGTTCGAATCCCAGCACCTACATGGCAGCTGACAACCACCCATAACACCAGTTCCAAGAGATCCAACACCCTCTTCAGTCCTCCACGGGCACTGCAAGACACAGGTGCCCCTGCACACATACAGGCAATACACTCATACACATAAAGTAAAAATAAGTAACATTTAAAAAATAAAACTTTAGGTCTAAGGACTATCAAGGACAGACAGAAAGTGCCCAGTGCTATACTGAGGATCTTGTGCAGCCTGGCTTGGGGCTTGGCCTCGTCACTTGCTGCAGATCGAAGCTACGCTTGTTGGCTTGCTTGCTTACTTGATTGTTTTGTTTTGAGACAGAGTCTCATGTAGCTCAGCCTGGCTTCAAACTCTCTCTGTAGCTGAAAATGACTTTGAACTTCTCATCCTCCGCCTCAACTCCCAAGTGGTGGGAGTACAGCCCTGCACCACCATGCCCAGTTTATTGAACCTGGGACTTCCTGCATGCTAGGCAAGCACTCTACCAACTGCGCCTACAGCGCCAGCCCTGACGTATTTTGGAAATACCTCACCTTAAAATGGTTTGACACTAGGTCTGGAAACCAGATTGTACCCTGCCCATCCTGAGCAGCAAATAGATTTTCTAGATGCTACATTTGTAACTGAAGAGAAATGGTTGCAGGGCAGGGCAGCCTGCTCCAAATATTGCTTATGTGGTAGGACCACTGGTTAAGCCTGACTGTGTAAATTGGCTCAGAATATAGATCCCTGCAGATAGGAAACATGATCCTAAATGAAACTAAGACACACCAGGCCTAAGAATTTCTGTCTCATTATGATATAAAACCCCACACAAAAATTGCCTCCCTTTGGTCCACCACAGCTCTCGGCAATGATTGGACTGTGGCTAAAGTGACATTAGTTGTCTGCTCACGTTGGTGTCTGGTTTTGATTGACAGGTCAGAGACACAGAACTCGACAAAGATACAGTGAATGAATGCGCTTCTCTGAAGCTGCCTGCAGGCTGGGTTCACATGCCAGTTCTGGTCACTAACACGAGATCCTCCATTATCCACCAGCTGTGTTAACCAACAGCATGACCTTGGCCTCAGTTTCCCTTTAGAGGCTAACTCTTTTATGCTACTAATTTTTTTTTAAGTCAAAAGTAGTTACCTCTGATCACTTCTCTGATAGATGCAAGCCACCAAATTTAAAAGCCCAGCCTGTGAGCAGTTTTCTGATGACAAAAGTCATTTTTTGCTGATGTTTAAAAATGCATGCAGGAAGAAGAAAGAAAAAATAAGTAAAAAGGAAAGTGCTTCAGTTCTGTGAGTGCAAGAAAAATGTAAGTCCCACCAAACCAATATTTATGCTAATGCTCCTCCTTCAGCGCCAGGACCCCTGAATGGCTTTGAATTTCATTTTGCTTAAGGAGAACGAGGTAATTGAAGCAGAGACAAAGTACGTTGCTTTTCCGGGCCATCGGAGATATTGGAAATTTAAACACTTTTGTATCTTCAGAAAATGTAAAATGAGAGTTGTTTTCTCTGTGCTGATCTGCTGGAAGTAGATAATGTCTGTGAGTGGCTGCAGAGCTGGGTTTTGGAAAGGTTAAAAGCAAGCTGAGGAGTCGGGTTCTGAGCTCTAGGGGAGAGAGAGGAGCTGTGTGTTCTAGAGAGGGAAGCTTCTAGAAAGTGATGGCTGAAGCTTGCATCGACTTGTTTTCTGTCTGTTAGACTTGAGTGGGGTTTGTAGTGACCTAGAGAGCCATCCATGACTCAGCTTAACTTCAGAGATGGTATTGAGAGGGGATAGATTTAAATAAGCTGGAGCCAAAGTCAGCAGATGGTCCATTCAACTCCCAACATCTCAAAGCAAGCTCATAATGAAGATCTCGGAGTAGGTGTGAACCTTTTGGTAGAAAGGCCAAGTCAAGACGTATGATGGACTTTCATGTACTAGGACATTGTATTGGTGCCATGGACCCAGTTTATGTATTGTGACACTTGTCACAGACCGACAAGTGTCGTTTCTTGTCGTAAATCAAACCAGTAGCCCAGTCGAATCATTTTCAATTGGGACCATCCATTTCTACCCCAGATCCTACCAACCTCATGTTTCCTTCCACGTGCCAAGCAAGATCCCCAACAGGTAGATAAACCATGGATTTATACAGTACTATTAGAAGATTGAAGCTTGTGACAATGAGTCTCAGTGCCATTGTGTTCCTAATGCATTGCATCAAGATACTCGAAAAGCTTTGCTTCATAATGTACATGTTATCTCATGAATCACAAGATCTGTTGCATTTGTGTTATATACAGTGTGTCTGTGTGTGTGTGTGTGTGTGTGTGTGTGTATACTCATATTAAAGGGATAACAAGCCAGAATGGCACAATAGACAAAAGAAGAGTGGACTGTCTAGTCTGCTGACTCATGTCACTGTTCGGGGATGTCTTTCACCTTCTGATACAGATACATGATGAAAATGGGAGGGGATTAGTCGTGTGATGCTCTGTAAAAATGACTCTGACAATACCCAGTGTGGAAGAATAATAGAGCCTTTGTCTTTAAAGAGATTTTACAGGTTGTAGAGATAGACTCCCAGGAGAAAAACCCCAGGGTGGTTTGTGGAGTTTGGGGAGCATCTTGTGTTTTCTTTTAGAAGCATTTGGCTTAGAATATCTGCCAATGTATAGCCCCTGTGTTTAAAATAACCTTGTCATTTCATGTGAGGAGTCTCCAAGAGTCCCTTTTCACTCTACATCATTTTGGATGTATTCAGCTGGTCATTGCTGTGAGGTCATATCAGCTCTTTAGAGACCTGACCTCTGCTCTTTGCAAACTGCGCTCTGGAAATGAGAAGAAAAATGTTATGAAGGGAAAACTGACTCACTGTGAAAGGTCTATTGGAAGGTAAAAATATAACATCTGGTGTTCTCCCCCTTTACATTCTGCTGCTAACAAAAAGGTTTAGGAGAAAGACACCTGCAGGAAACTTTTGGATGTGAAGAGCGTCCATGAGTACATCAGTTCCTTATAGCTTAACATTCCACCCCAGTGAGTGGGTGTTGCTAAAGCAGTGGTGAGACCTGTAGGCTTGCCTACGGTCAAGAGACTGAGTATGATGACTCAAGAGACGGGGCGTGGACTAGGAAAGCAGGAGAACTGATGTTAGGTAGCATACATCTGATCCATCAAAGCTGGAATCCTGTTCCTGGGGGAAAGAATAAGATACATACCTACCTCAGTGTCCCATCTCACCTATTCACCTATCTACATACTCCACCTCATCACTTACCTTCCTACCTCTCTATGTATCATC